GCCTGTCATCACCACCCAGTGAAGTAGTCCTTTCAAATGATTAATCCACCAGGATTGTTACAGGGGCTGTAACCTCAGTCACAGAAAGACTCATTTAAACCATAACAACAGATGGAACAAGAAAGATAGAAGGGAGAAGAAAGAGCAGCACTGAGCTCGTGTCACTGTCACCCTCCCACCTGGCTTACTTTGTCTTTCCTCTGCCCCCCTCCCTCTAGGACCCAAATCTTTATGCTCCCTCATCCTGGATCACTGAATCCCAGGTTTCCCAGATGACTGGGGTTCTGACTTCTAGAATCAAAGAAATCCAGAGGCGATTTCCTACCTGGACCCCCGACCAGTACCTGAGAGGTATGTACATACCACCATCGGTCAGTTGCTTCATAGCATGGAATCTATAGGCACAGATGTGACATCACACCAGATTCCCCTAAACCACAGTTGCTCCTGAGAGGCAGTGAGGAAAGATAATGAAAGTTTTCTATTGGGTATCCAGAAGCAACAAGGGACTGTTGGGGCAGGATTAACTTATCACATGAATTTCAGGTGGACTCTGTGCCTACAGTGGGGGCCCTGGCTTTGTCAGAAGCAGCCAGGACCTGGGCTGTGACTTCTGCAATGATGTCCTTGCACGAGCCAAGTACCTCAAGAGACATGGCTTCTAGAACTTCAGGTGAAACCCAAGTTTATTATCATCCATGAGATCTCGACTATTATGCAAATAATGTCAGCAGATGGGGTTTGCAACTGCAATTCTGAGCTTGACCAGAAGATCATCAAAATTGCATGAACCACATTAAATGAAGAGTTGTTACCTGCATTTTGTCATCTTGTGAATGTGTGTGTGTGTGTGGGGGGGTAAATGATGGGCTGTGTCTCTTTAGCACTATTTCCACAGATGTTAGCGCTCCTGTGGATCTCTGTGAAATGAATCTTATACCTCATTGGCTATCACCAGGTTTAGCAAAGACAAGCACGGAAAACTCAGTTTCAGTATAAATTCCATATTATTGTTTATAATGTTTTTTGATGCTGGGTGTTGAACTCAGGGCCTCACCCTTGCTAAGCAAACCTCTACCACTGAGTTACACCCTCAGACCCAACAAGGAATTTTTTTTGTGTAGGTTCCATGTAATATGTGGAACATACTGACACTAAAAAATTATTCATTGTTTAACTGAAATTCAAATTTAACTGGACTTCCTGTATTTTATCTGGCAGACCTAACTGACTTTTTGGATAAAAATCAGATTAAAATTTTACTGAAAACTTTTAATGAGAAGAAAGGCATATGAAAGGTGAAATAGTTTTGAGAAAGTCACTTGCAAACTTTGCGTCGTGATCCTAACCCTGGGATGCCTCACATCTAAGGTCACCTTCTCCTCTCCTTTGCTGGACAACAAAACCTCCTACACCACAGCTCCCCAGCTTCCCACCCAAAGTATCCAGATCTTAGCTAAAGTCTTCCCTTTGGGGGGTCACTTCAGTCACCAATAGAACCAGGCCACTGGAGGTAATGTCACTGTGCACTTGATAAATTACTGAATCTGAGGCTTGTATACTGTACAAGGAATTGATGTCCCATTATGTCAACTGACCAATATCAGCCCTTTACAGAGTGGCATTCTAGAGCAGCTCTCATCATTTCATCTTCGGCCTGTCCCTAAATCATTTTTTCAAAGCAACTCCTACGTGTCCAGTACCCCATGAAGATACGAGAGTCTCTGTCCATAGAACTATCAAATCAGAGAATGCTTGGAGACAGCAGTCCACACAGAAGAGGAGAAACAACCATACTGTGATAAGGGATGGGGCAGGGCATGCATATAGTGTGAAGTTCCTGCCTTTGTGTCAGAGCCCCATTCCCCCATGACTGTGGGTGCCCTTGATCTCCCCTGGGGCCACTTCCTTCTTGGACTCCCCACCCTCTGCCTTCCAAGTCCTACTCTCAAGGCTGAATGCAGTTAATGGATTCCCACCAAGAAAAAGATGGAGAAGACTTCATAAAGGCATCTCCTTTGCAGATGTACAGATCACAGGCAAAAGGAAAATCGAATGTGAGGACCTGATGCAAGTCCACAGGGAAACAGTGAGGTGAATAAAGACCTGAGATTACAACACTAAGGTGACCTCCTGCTGCTCTCACCATGGATACAGGTGCCCAGTAAATGGGAGTCACTCTTTGCCAAGAAAGGAAAGCAACCTAGGAGCACCATGATGTCACAACGGGAGCTCTGGGGAGATACTGCACAGGTAGGGGTTAGTAAGAGAACAAGGATATTAATTAGTCAGCAATTAGCTCCTATTTAATTCCTTATACTCACCAGGAACTGTTCCGAAAGGCTCCTATTCTAGCTGGTATATGGATAATTAGCTCAGGACACAATTAGCTCATTTCTCTAAAAATGAAATATATAAAAATCAGTAGGGAAGTTTTGGAGAAGGGAGGCCAGCATCCACACAAGAGGCAAGGCCATTTATGAGGTGCTAAACTCACATTAATGCTGACCAGATGGGCATTTTTATTCAATTGAACAGATAAGAGAAGTGCTGATCAGACCAGAACTGTTGATCGACAGGAACTTGATAGGACCGTAATCCAAACCCAGATCTGTTCCATTTTAAAGCCTATCCTTTTAGGTTTCATTTTCCCCTGAGTGACACATATACATATTTAGATGACTGGCACATGTAAGCACGTGTATGTGTTTGGTGAGGTATCAGGGTGACCATCGTCCTGGTATGCCTGTGTCAAAATTACACTCCAGCTCAAAGATCTCAATGGATTTTATTTCCCATTCTAGAAGCAGATTAATACTTGTGAACCTGAAACTCTCAAGACAGGGATCTCTAAAATGAAAGGGTTTATTGAGCCATTTCAGATGTTAACCAGAAAGGACCAGGTTCTGGGTCCACACCTGCCAGCAGCAGAACCAAATACATTTGGAAAAATATCAGCAGGCCCAAAGCCAAGTGCATTTTTATAAGAAAAAACTGGGGGAAGGAGCCCAGTGTGGTGGCCCATGCCTGTAATGCCAGTGGCTCAGGAGGCTGAGGCAGGAAGATCGAAAGTTCAAGGCCAGCCTCAGCAACTTAGGGAGACCCTAAGCATCTTAGCAAGACCCTGTCTCAAAATTAATATATACATATATAAAGGGCTGGGGATGTGACTCAGTGATAAAGCAACCCTGGGTTCCATCCCTGTACCAAAAAAGAAAAAAAAAAAGATTGGAGGAAGGGAAAGCATAAATCATTTACACTGAACCTGAGACAGGTGGGAGCCACCAGGGTTGAACAAAAGGCAAGGACAATGAAAGACACCCCTGGGCTCCATAAGCCAGGATCCTTTGTAGCAGGGCATGCTGCTATTTGTGCTATTTGCAGGAAGACCCATCTTGGGACCTGAGAAAGCCAGAAGCAGAATGTTTGCACAAGATGAAATTGTTACCAGGGGAAGGGGAAGCTAAGCCAAATAAACCCTCTAGCTTCACTCATGTGTAGTCAACTTAAAAATCACTCATTTGGGAGGTCACACGGCTGTGCAATACTTGTGTGTTTCCCTAAGTAGTTTTGCTGCAAATAACACCTCTGATGTGTGGGTTATGATGACATGGTTGCCTAGGTTACTTTTCAGGGACTTGAAGGCCATTGCTACCAAATACACTCGCTGTGCACTGAGGCCTGCAGATGTCTGACGGGGACTATAATATGATCTCTGTCTTCATCTTATGTCTATTCCCTTTGCTACCTTAACTCTTGGGTCAGATTCTACTCGGCCCAGCATGCAGGCATGTTGATTGCCCCTTGGAGTTAGCATGTGCTTTTTTCTACTCCACCCTGTGCTTTTTCAGCAGCTAAAGCAGCCCAAGCACCAAAGTCCCTCAGCCCTATTGTACATAGGTCCCAGTTTAAGCCACAAGGCCAGGATTTTTTTTTTTTCCCTTTCTGGTACTGGGGATTGAACCAGAGATGCTTAACCACTAAGCCACACCCCCCAGGCCCTTCTGTTTTTTGAGACAGGATCTCATGAAGTTGCTGAGGCTGACTTTGGACTCAAAAGAAAAACAGCCACGAACCACTGAAATGTGGAAGGTGCCCATGGACCATGGGAATGCAAAACAAGCAAAATGAGGGATCCTTGTCTGCAAAACACAAAGAGATGGGGGGCAATGCCAAGGGCAGGGAGGACAGGCCAAGATTGGGTGAGGTTGGTACTTCTCCCATATTCTCCCTTGAATGTGTCTCTGCTTTCCTAAATAAATCTGTCTGTGCTTCTAATTGACATGCCCTTAAATTCACTTCTGTGATGTTCATCAAGAACCCCGCTAGTCCTGATTTGAGTTCCCCTCTCCAGGATCTCTCAGGACCTCCTCCAGGGACAGTTTTGAGTAACCTTCTACCAATATTCTTCGACTTAATAAGAACTTAGAGGAGAAAAATGTTATTTGGAGCTCATGGTTTCAGAGATCTCAGACAATGGACAGGCTGGGTCCATTGCTCTGGGCCCACAGTGAGGCAGAACACCAAGGTGGAAGGGCAACGTGGAGGAGCACTGCTTCTCTCATGGCAGGCAGGAAGCAGAGAGAGAAAGGGGAAGGGACTGCAGGAAAGACGCACCCATCCAGGGCTTGCAACCAGTGACCCACCTCCTCCAGCCATGCCCCACCTGCCCAGTTAGTCCATTCAAATTAGGATGGACTGATTAGGTTACAATCCAATCACTTCACCTCCCAACATTCCTGTATTAGCACAGGAGCTTCTGGGGGAACACTTCATATCCAAACCATAATAGGGGACTAACCAGAAAAGGGATGTCCTATTGATTGGGTAGGAGGGCATGTTCACTTTTCTCTTATTGGTCCTGAACTGGAAGCAGCTGGGAACATTAGGGCAGCTATCAGTTACTGAGAGGGGTTATTATTTGCTTCCCAGACCAGTTACTAAAGATGTCACCAGGCTGAACCTGTTTTACTGACAGCCTGTTATCCTGTCAGCTCTGTTTGCTTACAGGTGGTGCTTGCTTGGGACAGTTGAGGAGGATGTATGCTGATAACTACATGCTTCCAACTGTCAGCACTGAGTTATCACTTGCCTAGAGGAACCCCAGACTGGCTTGATCTGGTTTGGGGGCTATGTTGACACTACAGATGACCTTGGACTCTTTATAATGATACTAACACATTTACCAACACCGTGGTATTGATTTGACTTTGCCCAAATTAGCGAAGAAAAGAGGTGGCACCCTGACTCCTGGGAATCTCCTTTCTCCATGAAGTACCCTATGATTGCATGCATGCCACAAGCCCTCATAACCCAGTCCTCATCAAAATCCCAAACCCAGTCCTGTTCAGGACACAAGCTCCCCTTCTCCATGGGATAAGTTCCCTGCCTGCTCTCAGAACTGTTTGGTCATGGATAGCAGTATCAAGCAGGAAAAGAACTACTGGGTAATAGAGAGGGATGGTCTGACTTCTTATGAGTCCGGCTTATACAGGGCAGGCTGGCTTCCTGGGCTGGTTGGTTGCTTAAATAATGGGCTGTGTCCCAGGCTGGTTGCTTCAAATTGTGGGTCTAGTCTCACATGTGGTTTTGCCATTGTCCTTTTATACATTCAGTCTCTCATTGTATGTTCAGTAAGGTGTGTAACTATTTCCACTATCTAAAACCAAAGCATGCATCAGCCCAGAAGAAACCCTCTGCCCATTACCAGGCATTCTTCATTCTCCCTCAATCTTACAGACTTAGCAACCACTAATCTGATTTCCATCCCTATAGATTTGCTCACTCTGGACATTCCTTTATTATTTAT